AAAAAAAAAAAAAAAAAAAACACATCTTAGTAAAACCAATACCTTCTCAGCTTCGCATCGAAGCTAAAACAATGTGAATAAAAAAAATTTCATATTGAATTTTTTTTTTTTTTTTTTTGAGGGAAGAGTTGTAGACCCCGACGTTTTTATCGTGATCTTGAAAAACGTACAAAATTTTAAAATACTTAATTTAACATGTGTTTAAAGGAAATAGTATTTCCAGAACATTTTTAAAAGTTAAGTTAAAAAAGCTAACATTCTGTGCAAAAGTGGTTATTTTCATTCTCTTATGTGGGCGTTAAAGGGTCAGTTTTTCCAAAAAATTATATAAAATAAAAGGAAATTACCTAAAGTATTTGTAAAAAATTTGTATTGATTTTTTAATTTTTTTTTAAATTAACTACCGGTTGTGCTAGGGATTCGTCACTACGTTGGATGCTAGTGTTAATAGTTAGATGCTATGATTTTAGTATTTAGTGACACCCCCCCCAATCCACAATTCTATGATAGTTTATATATATTGTCACTTTAATATATAACTCCTTGTCTTGTAATTCGTATAATTTTATTTAGTGTAAGTACCATCCTCAATCTTATATACAGTCCACTCCCTATTTCTTTCTCCGTCATAATTAAACAACTCAACCGGACGTTAACTAACCCGCACATTATAACCGGGCGTTCCGTTCAAACAAATATTATTAAAAATGTTTGCTGTATAATTAAATACTATTTAAACACATACTGTCAGTATATATTTAGCGTTGATAATGGTAATATTGTTCTCGTAAATACGTATCCACGATTTTTTTTTTAGTTATCTTTGTGGCTTTTGAGTTAAATATTTTTTAAATTTTAAATTGAAAAGGTTTATTTTTACCAATAAAATGTTCAAAATTAATATTTAAAATCGTATTTTAATTTTTTTATGTAGTTTGCACCAGATTTAAAAACAATATTTTGTAAAATCATTTTTTTATAAATACTTTTGTATTATAACACTGAAAAATAAAATACATTATTTTTACATCATTATTTAATTTAAAAGAACTAATATTGTAGCTATAGTACTAGAAGTAGCGAGAAGTGATAATTTTATTTATAGTATATAATTACATTTTTTTATTTATTTATGTTAGTATTTTAAACTCTTGAATGAATTAAAAACAAATCTAAAACAATAAAATCACTTGAACACTACTTGCACGTGAACTATGATGTATATTTATGAATATATAATATATAATATATAATATATATATATATAGATATTATTTATTCAAAATCATGATATTAATTTTATACATTTATATACGTGTAATAACTTTTTTCCTTAGTTTTCGACGTAAAAATCTAAATAAAAGGGTTTTGAGTTAAGGTGTCAAAAACTATCATATATTTTCCTTAATAAATCACGTTTATTATCTAAGTTAACATCTATCCGATATTTTGCTTAATGATCTACGATATAAATCATTTTTAATTATTAAATTTTAATTAATTTTAGGTGTTCGATAAACATAACAGAGGTTATATCAGTGCATCAGATTTACGAGCAGTACTACAATGTTTGGGTGAAGATTTGTCCGAAGAAGAGAGTAAGTGAATATTATTAGGGTGTCATCTATTTAACAAATTTACGAATTCTTTCAGAGTTTGGCTCCTTTTTTATTCAAAATAATGTATAAAAGTCATTATATTTTTTGTGACCATTCTAATCAAAGTTAGTTCAAATTTTGAGTTGACTATTTTAAAAAGAAAAATAATGTGAGTCTCAAAATTAGATTTATATGGCATAATAAACTTTTTAAATAATTGTACGAAGTATTATAGTCAAAGACTACACATTTTTTTTTTAACTACGTATATTTATAAAATTAATAATTTTATTTACAAATTACGAATCTTGATCATTTATTTTGATAGAATTATTGATCGATTTTAGGTATGACAATCATTTTTTCAGAAGTTTTAATTTTAGTAAAAAAGAAATTATTTGGTTAAGAAACCCAATGTATGTATAATTCATAATTTTGTTTTTATATTTTCAGGGATTTAAAACCTTAGATTTAATTTTCTTAAATGGGAACCTCTATTTTCCACTTAATAATATGATAGTAAAAACAATTAAAAACAATTTTTTTTTAAAAATTTATTTATATATATTTTATAATTTGTTCCTACAAATAATTTTTATTTGATAAACTGTTCATGTGTTACAGCAAATTGAAATTCAGAAATTTGAGATCAATTAACTATTGATATTTTATTATTAAGAATAAAAGAAGTCATAATTTTAAAATAAAATAAATATTATTTATATAATTTTATAGTGCTATTCAAATAATTTTTCTTTTTACGAAAATTAAATTTTTTTTAATAGTTTCTGAGAAAATGAGTGTCTGTCTAACCCATAATTGATCACTCTTAATACATATTTTTATACTTGAAAAAAATATTGACGTTAATTGGTAAAGCTTAGTTGAAACCAATAAAAAAACTGATTTCTAACAGTGATTAAATCTCTCTTATATAGCATTTCAATGCAAATTTATTTGAAAAAAAATTTGGTGAATATTTTTAGAGGGATGATTAATAGAAACGTTCATTTTTTTGTATGTTTGCCACTAAATTACTCAGCTTTTGTTGAATTGATTTTGCGCGTTTAACTATCAAAAATTCTATGTAGTCTAAGAAATGACACTTCAAAATTAACAAATATTCTATTGGTCCCCGTAAAAGACGGAAAATGTATAAAAATTACAATTAAAAACTACATATGTAAATCAAAAAGTTTTTTAGAAAATAAATAACATTCCTTTAAAAACTTCATGAGGTAAAAAAAGATCACTGTATACCTTTTCAGCTTTGCATCTAAGCTGAAAATTGTAGCGTAATTAAAGTTTTATTTTGAGGCACATATTTGTGAACAAATTTTCTTTGCGAACGAACGAAAAAAATTATATTTTCATCATGTAATTATTTTTATTTTGGAGGAAGCAGACACTCATTATTACACAATATTACAATAGTGCTAAAGAGATGGACACCTCGAAAATATTCAGAAATTTGTAAAACATCGAGCTAGCTTTATTACGTATACATTCTTTTTAGTTAATTATTAACTAAATATTTATAGATGTAAAGGTTCATTACGTTGGCCAGAAATAGTTCATGTCATAATAGAAATAATACAAATTGTAATTACGTGTATTATGGGTATACTATATATCTAATTGTTTATATTTATTTGAATTCTAAATACAAAACTGGTCATATAGGAGCGACTAGAAAACTATTATATAACTTGAACAACATAACAGACATAACTTGGAAAAGAAATTAATTTTGCAAGAGAGACAAAACAAAACTGATAATTTTACACTATAAATTAAGTTTTTACAGACACTCTAGCGTAACTATTACAGCTAAATTAATGAAATATAATTATTTTTCATTCAATAAGTAGAAATAATAGGGATATAGTATAATATGTTGACGCAAAAATGAAAAAAATTTTATTTTCATGGTTTTATTACTACACTTACTGCTAGAAAATATTAATTCATCTTAAAGTATTTATAAATAAAAAAATCTAACACAAAACCATTTATTATTAAAATAATTTAAAATAACTCATAACTGTACCATCTAGGTTATTTATCCTTTGTTAAAGAAAAATGATATAATATATCATTTTATATAATATATATTATATATTTCGTAATTATATTAAAGATTGATTTAGTTTTTTTAAAACTCTAAATGACTTTAAATTTAATATTTTCAGTTGAAGATATGATTAAAGAAGTGGATGTTGATGGTGATGGAAGAATTGATTTTTATGGTAAATATTGTTAAAACTTTATTTATTATTATATGACCATTAGGTCTGAAACTAAAAGTCGCGGTGCCTCTTATAGCACAGAGGTAGACTTTACATACCTCTAGTGCTGGTCTTGATGATCATTTGTTTAAATATAATTAAGATTTTGTAATCTTATATTTCTTGCAATGTCCACTTATATATTAATCAAACATGATAACGTAGTAATTTTCAAAAAAAAAAATTTACTTTGTCAAATTTTAAGAAATAAAAATGCTTTTTTAGAAAGGTATTACAATTAAATTACAACTTTTAAAAATTAATTCAGAATGTGAAAAATAAATTGTAAATATAACAGAGGCGTTATCAGTGGTGATTGAAGAGTATGATATTATAAGGCATTAAAAATAAATATATAGACTAAGATGCGATGTTTATAATGAAAGATAAAAAAAAAAAATTGAAATTTTTTTATTGATATCTTACAAATTTTAAACATAATAAATCACTTCTGTTGAATCTCGATCATGGTAAGCAGCTCATTTTTTTATTGAACTCTTAGCTCAAAAGCGAAGAGTAGCGGGTAAACACAGAAATACTCTCGCAAATACACCTTTGTATAAATCATTGAGCTATAATAAAAACAAAAAGTAATCACATATTTAGCATTTTTCATGATTTTTTTTAAATTTCTATTACAAATCTCTTTATTAGTAGTACAGCTGCTTTTAATTAGGGTATTAATTTTAAATAAGGATACTCAATTTTAGTGTGGACAATATTAGCTATAAATATAATTTAATATAAATCTGGGTATAACTAAAAATAGCTCATTTTCAGAATTTGTGCATGCGCTTGGTGAACCAGGAGATGAATATGATGACATTGATGACGACGAAGAAGAAATAATTTATCCACAAATTTCTATACAATAATTTTGATAAAATATTTTATTTTATCTTATTAATTATGTATTATTCTAATTTAATGTATATCTTTAACTTATCAACAAACACTAAAACAAAAATATTGATATTAATTCTGTTATTTTGTTAGAGAAACAACATTTGATTAGGTTCAAAAATGTATAATATGTAGTAATGCCATGTTAATGACTAAATCTTAGACTCCGGGCATATACTTTTTTTTTTTTTTACTTATTGTACCTAAGTATTTGTTTTGTGTTCATGTTTGCTTGAATCATACTTAGAAATGTCTTATAACTTCATTATGTTTCAAATGTATTTATTGTTGTAAAATAATGTTTAAGAAACTTTTAATATAACAGGAAATTAAAATATTTCAAAGATACTTTGAAAATTTGAAACCACATTTATTAACAACTATTTTATATTTAAAAAAATTAATTATATTGTCAGTATTCATACAAATACAAATTACTTAAAAAAGTATCATTTTTCTTTTTCACTTAGAGGCGAAACATATAAAATCTATTAGAATCTTAAATTATTAGAGGAAATAGTCTGCAGCATGTTTTTTTGTAGGCATACCTCGATTTTCTTGGGGAGCTGCTTCAAAAATAGTGAAATCTCTTTGAAGTGTTTCACTAAGTTCTAAAATTGCGGCAACATTTCCACATCTAAAAATTTGAAATAAAAAATTAAATATAAGCAAAAATGCATTATTTATATTATATGTTTAATAAATTTTCAATAATTTAATTATATTTTATTATTAAATAAGTCAAGCAGACTAAGATTACCGATAACAATAATTTGGAGCTGACCATACTGTTAGGACAGTTTCATCAAAGTGCCACTTGTAACCCTCCATGACTAACTGATGAGCACGGCATATTATGTCAATATCATTTGTTGTGTTAAATTGGGCAACTACATCAGAACCAAAAAGATATCCAGCACCTCTCGGACTAACACCCCATCCTTGTGTATCTGATAAATTTAAATTAGAATAAAAATGTTGATTATAATTTAGTAATAATAAATATAAATATAATAAATAAAGTACAGAGTCAATTAGTTGAAATAGGATGCACATTTAAATGTAGGCTAAAATAGATAAAAAATATTTTTTAGTCATTTTAAATTGTGGAACCTTTAAAATTAAGTAGGTTTTATTTTAGAATTTTTTGATATTTAATGAATACTAACATAATTTTTAATTAATTTTTTCAGGCAAAAAATATTTGCAAAATTACAATAACATACTTTCTGGGTCTGACCATAATAAATCACACATAGGTCCATCATGAGGAACTTCCTGTTTTCTATCAATGGTTCTTATTTGATCTAAAGTTTGTATAGATGGTGATAGACCACCATGTACACAAAATATCTACAAATAAACATTTAATTAATTAATTAAAAAAAAAATATTGTGTCGAAAAAATACATATTGCCACTTCCAAGAAAAAGGAGATAACTAAAATTTTTTATAAGAGTAACTTTTAGTTTTAAAAATGTACCCAATCTGTATAATTCTTTATAAAATTAATTTTAATAGAGGATTATAGTATAAATATATATTTAATGATTTGGCATTTTTAAAAAAAAGGCAGTTATTCAAATTAATTATTTCTTTCTGGGAAAAAGTAGTTATTCATAGAAAATAAACTTATATTATTTGTTTTAATGAACAATTTTTAACTGCAAAGAAAATAACTTTAGATACTCCCATTTTTGTCAAAAAAGGTAATTATTTAGTAATATGACTATTAATGCCAGTAATGATAAAATAAAGCATAAGCTATAATATACAATATTCTTGAAAATAATAATAAATGATGACTATTAAATACTTTTTAATTATAATTATTTTAGTGTACTCAGTTCAAGTTCTTTAAAATCATTATCTTATGTAATTCGAGTTGATTGGTTAGTTCAACAAGTATGTTATTATATTATAAAGTTTTAGTACTAGAGACTGGTTTAGAAATAAATAATTCACATTTGTTGTTTAAAAAATTGGTCTCTACAGAATTAATGATCAAAATATTAAAGACAATATCTAATGGTTCCAGAAATTTAATTCCTTTTCTATTTTGAATAGTAGTATTTGTTTAACTTTATCCATTACGTATAAAGAAGTTGTATTTGTGTAATGATTTAACATTGAAATCTTATGAGGGAGTTAGTTTTCGAACACACCAGTATTAATTGCTTTGATACAAATATTGGTTTATAACTGAGATATTGTTTTTTTACTACATTTTGAATATATAAAATATGAGCTAAAACAGAACTTGATGTTAGAAACTTTTGATCAATAATGTTTTTTATTGGCCTAATCATTAGACAAAGAGATTTTTCCATTATTCACTAAAATTAAATTGAATTTATTTATAAAAAGAGGTATAAGTTTATAAGATAAATAAATAATTTTTTTTTCTAGTTATAATATACATAATTATCATCCAAATAAATAAAAGATTTGATATACTAATCATAATATTCAACCAAAAATTAAATAACAGAGGCTATTTTTGGTCAAAATACTAAAATCACATTGAGTAATCAATATATTTTTAATTTAAAATCTCAAATTTTTATAAAATGTCATTTTAATTATTATAATACAGTTAAATAGGGTTCTCATTAAAATTTAAATGATCAAGTTTCTTTGATCCACTCCAATACAAAGTAACTATATATAGTATGTATAGCTCAAACAAATTATATAGTAATTACCAAAATGAAAAAAAAGTTTTTTTTTTTTGAGGTGGCAATTATATATTATTTGCATACATCATTATAAGAAAAAATGTCAAATTTTATACTTTTCCATCAATGATGGCTGATAGGCTGAGATAGTCAAATATCTCAGTACAATAACGCCACACAGCAACACTGTTGTATTTTCTTAAGCATTCATCATAAAAACCATAAACTTGGGTAATTTGACGTGACTCATGGTTGCCTCTAATTAATGTTATTCTATCAGGATATCTAACCTATGAAAAAACGTATAGAATGAATTAAATCATTCATTCATTTATGAATTATACTAATTTTTCAAAAGTAAATAATAAAAATAATTAAAAATGTTCAAAATTTATAAAGTGAAGAAAAAAGGGGACGCCTGTGATAAAAATGGAGGAAAATGAAAGTTATATTCATTTTCAGAAGTCATTTTACATAAGAATTAGTTATAATTGGGATTGGACATTTTATTCATGCAGAGCATTGTTATTTTTTTAATAGAATTTTTTTTTTTTTAATTTTTCAACATAGAAACTTTATAAATGCATATATATATATATATATATAAATTAATAAAATAGTAATTGTTAGTTCAAGTTGGCACTTATAATATTCTATACAATAACCATATATTCCTTGGAAAAATTTTATTAGATTTTAGCTTCGATGCAAAGCTAAGAAGATATTAATTTTACCTATATGTTTTTTTTCTGTTTGTCGCTACTTTTTTGCAGCTCTCATTAGACCAATTTCTTTCAAATTGTACTTAACTATAAACACATAGCTCTTAAAAATTGAAAAAATTCATGATAAAATATAATATAATATTATTTTAAACTTTTTTCTGAACTAAATTCTTTCTAATAATGCAAATACAGACCTTAGTATAATGCAATAAACATTATTTTTCTTAATTAAAATTTTAATTCTAGGATCAAAAGTATTAAAATTCTAAATCCATTAAGAGTTAATAAGCTCAAAATTAAAGCATTTGTGATAAGGAACATGTGCATGAACAATTAAATTAATAATAAGTAATTTTTTATTTTTCGAATGTTTAATAAATTAAAAATGTTTCTACAGTTATTTACTTTTAATGCGAGAAGAAGTAAAAATGTTTCTACACTGAAAAATCCACGATCTACAAAATCACCCATAAATAAATAGTTTCTTTCAGGAACATCTCCACCAACTTTAAATAATTCTTTCAAATCATAGAATTGTCCATGAATATCTCCACATACCTAAAATATTGTGAACTTGCATTATTCATAATAATATAATTAATTTTAAATATATTACATTTAAATGTACTATATATACATAACTCATTGCTTAAAATGAAAAAATTTATTACGAAATTTTTCCAAATCTATGGATATCAAACTTTAATTTTTATTTTTTACAACTAAAAGGTTTTTAGTGATGATATATATAGAATGATCTGTTTACCATAAAGTACTCATTTACTCACAAAATTTAATTAGTCGAGATATTACAATTTAAGCAGCGTAATGGACTGTTGAATTGCCATTTTCATTTTGACAGTTGACAAACTTCCCTCCCCTACAAAAAAAAAAAAACCCAACGCAGTGGTGGATAGTTGGATCAAGTATAATGATATCTGACAGTGATTAAAATCATTATAAAAAAAAACGCTTCGATGCAAATCTTTAGATAGTGTTTAATTTTAAAAAATTGGTGGATTATTCCAAAAACTACATGATCTGCTATTTTCTTATTAATATCCTGTATGAAAAAGGGATTATTAAAAAATATTATTTCTCATAAAAAAATTGTGTTGATCTATACACTTTTTAAAAAGTTATAGCATTTTAAAGTAAAAAATGTAAAATATGAAATCGAGAATTATCACACAAAAATAGAATTTGGTAGCCATTTTCACCATGAAGACAAGTCCAGAGGTCAAATTTTTTTTTCCATAATAAAGCACATTACATTAGCTTTAATTTAAGATATATGTAAAAGTGTCAGACCTTCCGGATCACTTTCAAAAGTTAATTTTTTGTGAAAAAGTTGTCATTTTAAATCCTCTTCTATGGGCAGGTAAAGGGATAAATTTATGAAAAAAATATACAAAATGATAGGTAAAGACATCAAGCATCTATAAAAAAAAAATTATATCGATTTTGTCATTTTTAAAAAAGTTAAAGCAGTTTTAAGTAAAAAAATTGAAAAAAATTCGAAAACTAGCGATTTTTAAATTTGTAATTTTTTTGGAGGATTCTTCCATTTCCGGGGAACGAGGGAAATGTTTTCAATTTTTGAGGGTAATATCTTCGACTAGATACGATTTTTTATCTTTTAACGTGTTATTGAAAGAAATCCGTTCGGTGAGGGCTGAGAAAAAGTGGTGACACAAAAAAAAAACACATCTTAGTAAAACCAATACCTTCTCAGCTTCGCATCGAAGATAAAAATAGAGAAAAAAACAATTATTAAGGCAAAAGAAAATTTTAAACTACAAATTTAGATAATACATATGAAGTATCCCAAGCACGAAACAAGTCCATATACTCAGAATGCAACAGATAACTTTGATTAACTAGACTAATTTTGATTAACTAAACTTGGGCACTGGAGGAATTATAATACATAAAATATTTAAATAAACTTAACGCTCCATTAACAAATAACCAAGTAATCATCAAATTAGCTAATACCAAAATAATAAAACATATATTTTGCATTTAATAAAATGTTTGAGGTTTTTTTAAGATAATAAAGTGTTCAATTTTGAAAATAATTTAAATTACATTCTGTGAGTAATTGAGCGATTAACATATCATTCTTTATATATAACAGAAATATATTAAAAGACTAACAGTTACGGGTGAATCAACTCGCTGAACATTACTTTCTTCAATAAGTATTTCGCGAGCTTTTGCGCAAAGTGCTTTAACTTCATGTTCTTGAATAATTTCACATCGTTTTAGTTGTTCGATTTGTCGATCCAAATCACTGTTGGAATCGTACATTTTAAACAAGTGAAAGAAAACTTATACTCGGCTTGATTACAACTGTAATGGTAAAAAAGAATGCTCTAAATATGTTAAGAAATGTATAGTTTAATCTTACCTGCATAACCTAAGAGCTTCAAAATATATTTAGAGATGTAATAAATGCCAACACTATTTTTTAGAAACTCGAATGTAAAGACATTTTCTTTGATTTTTTAATAATTAAATAAATTTAATAATTAAATAAAAAACTCGTGTAATTAACGTTTGTTTTTAAAGGTAATAATTCACTAATTAATATTATGGATATAGGAAATAAAATAATAAATTCACACAAAATTGGCTAAGATAATAATGCAATCGGCCAGTAAAGACAAAAACTCCACAATTGTATAACCAGTGAAATTATCGAATGTTTACACGCCGATTACTACTGAAGCAGTTTTGCGCATGCGTAATCAGTGTGGCCAAAATGGAAGTTGTTAAAAATTCCTTATTATGAAATAGGAGATATATCAACGTGGTTCGAGATATTTAAGACTCTAATCTAGGGAAATTACTACTCATTAGCGACGGCAACTTGTTATCAATCTTGATAACTGTTATTGTTATTTTCATAATAACAGTTACTGTTATTTTCTCAAAAAAATGTTATCTTTTTATAAAATTCTTTATAACAATGATATAAATGTTTTATATGTTAAAAGACTGTTAATAAAATAAAATAAATACTTAGTCCAAAATGACGAACATTAAATATTTATAAACAAATATGAATGTAAACGTAGAATTACTTATTTAATTTAAGGTTTGTCATAAATAATTATTCTTTGGAAATTGAATTTTAATCAAATGATATATAATAAAGCGATTTTGTGATTTTTTTGTTAAATGTGAAATGACCTTTATTTTATGATTCTTCTATTGTGTTTGATAATCAGTTTAAACAAATGTGTTTATATATTCGTTAATGTGTATTATTTCTTGGTAATATCTTTCACAAATTTGATAATGACCAAATATAAATGTTAATATATAGTGGAGCTTATGAACTCTGCGTGTTTTGTTTCACTGAAGAATTTAGCTGCAAACAGAGAGGAGTGGCTTCAAAGACAAGGCATTGCCTTTAATAGATGATGAAGTATGAATTTATACTTATTTGTTAGTGGATTCTTACTTCTTACTTCATTGTGCATTATATGGTTACACTGAAAGTTATAATTTCTGACTATTATGTTGTTAATAGTATACTCTGATATTTAAACTTTATCACGTTTTATATACTTAGTGAAACACGCGTTACACAGTCACTAAGAATGTATATTTACACACATTTGTTTATACTGGTTATCAAAAAATCGGATATAGGAATTGTAAAATAAACGCCCCTTCACATTTATCAACAATCACTTCGTCACATATTATTATTCTACCATTTCGTTAAAATTTAATTTCTAAAGAATCATTATTTATGACAAACCTTAAATTAAATTAGACGTGAAAAAACTTGTATTTGCAAAAAATGGAAATTAAAAATGTTTATCTCTGAATTTAAAAAATACGCTATTGGGCGATAGGGTCAAGTAGAGTAATTTGTCGTGGTTCAGGTGGTTTTTTATTAAATAAATAAATAATTACTCCGTCAGTTAAATATTATCACTGTATATTTTATACACTATATATATATAAATATAATGCCAAGAATGTCACGACGGCTTATTCCGTGAGGACGTTGAAATATATTATATTAATGATAATGTCGCCGCCGGCTTAGACCGGTTCTCGCCGCCCGTCGGCCACTCCATATGGCGCGACTTGCCGGACGTAAAGGGAAAGCGCCGCGATCGCCATCCAGTGGTAAAGCTGGAGTCGTGATGCGACCGCGACATACTCCCCCTCCCAGTCCGGCCGGTCGGCCCATGAGCGCCTAGGACAGCTGGTCCGTTGGCCCGTCCTCCAACTCCGGGAAGTCAGGAATCTCGATGGTCGGGGCGTCCAAAACCGCATCCTCGGTCTCCATTCCCTCCGAGAACCGGAACACCACATCCGCTTGCTACGGGTCCACTCGGTCGTCCCCAAGGAAGACAACTGGTTGAACGCTACCAACAAAGCGTTCCACACCTTCGCCGGAACGGGACTCACTCCCGACGCTACTTGGTGCCGCGGTGGTCACCTGGTTAGTTGACGCTTCCGTGGTGTTTTTCGGTCGAAACCGGCCATGTTCGTCCCGCTGGCTGTGGCGGTGGTTTGGCCGGTTTGTTTCCAGCCTGCTGATTAAGTCGAGCAGAGGTGTGGCCGGGTCGATGTCGCCGCTGGTTCGACCGCCGGCTAGGTTCCCCCTGTTCCGCCCGACGTTCCGTTAAGCCCCGATCGAACGCAGCCCATAAGAGGGCTTGGGACCGAAGTTCCCCAATTCCCGCCGTACGGACTCGTTCTCGGGTCCAGGTTGGAAGTTCCACATATTCTTCCCCCAGCAGTGCCGCCGCTTGCCGTTTTAACCTGCGGGCCTGCTGCCGCATGAGATTTGCGGTTTCGGCCGCAAGCCGGCGAGAGGGCTGAAAGGGACGGGGCTCCGCTTCCTGTCTTTGGTTGCTGGACATGCTGTAATATAGAAAATTTATTAGGATTACCTCCTGAGGCGTCATATTTCATGGCGGTGACATGTAGCTTTAACTGACGCCTTCCTTTAGTCACAAACACTCCCTCACCTAGCCTTTTGGCTAATTGCACTGGCCCCAGCCATTTAGGAGCAAAGCCGGCGTGAAACTTTTTATCAGCGCTGGATAAGAGATGCGCGCGATAATACATCCAATCCCCATTTTTATAGCGTCTGCGGTGATTTTCGTGGGATAACTTGTGACCAATATCATTTTTATCGGAAGATAACCCAAATTTTTGTGAGGGTTGTTCTCCCCCCCGGAAATTTTCGTTTTCCTACCAAAGACATCGGAGTTTTCGGTTATCACACCGGAGTTATTGTTATTGTCCGGAGTCCTTACGGTAACAATATTTTACTGTCCGGGCATTTCTATTTGTTTCGGGTTTTTACCCGTAGAAATAATGTCTAGCAGCCAATCGCCGGGGGCTTTGGCTTCTCGCCCAAAGGCCCGCTCAGAGGGAGTGCTCCCTGTTAGCCTGTTCCGACGATTTCTTATTGAAAAAAGTATATTCGGAATACAGCTGTCCCAGTGACTATGTGGTTTGTCAACCAAAGCTGTCCGAAGACCTTTTTTCAAATCCTGGTGTCGGCATTCTACCGGGTTTGCACTTGGATGGTAAATTGGCGTTGTCCATCCTTCTGTGCCCCACTTCTCCAATGCTTTCTCCATTGTTTTGGAGACGAACTGTGTTCCATTGTCTGAAAGAAGTACTCTAGCATAGCCGAAACGTGAGAAAAACTCTCTTTCTAGAGTGTCGGTAATCGTCTTAGCGGTGGCTTGCCCTAGGGGGTATGCTTCTACCAATCTACTGTAGCAGTCAGTTGCTACAAGTAGGCAAGTCTTACCGCGTTGAGATCTTGGGTATGGTCCCATAAAATCAATACTAACAACCTCCCATGGCTGGCGGGGCTGTCTTGGTCGCATTGGGTCATCTTGCTTCCGGTTTAGCGGTTTAACGCAAGCACAAACGTGACACCTTGCGACATATCGGCTTCTTGATAGGGCGTCTGCTGCTTGATTTTCAACTCCAGGCACGTGCTGAATATCAAAGTCGAACGCTCCCAGCTGTAACGCACAGCGGGTCAACTTACTGTTGGTATCCCGCGTGTGGTGTAACCATTTAAGCGCTATGCTGTCCGTGAGCAAAGTAAATTTTCCGTCTAGGTATGGTCGGAAGCGATCAACGGCCCATACAATGGCTAGACACTCACGTTCTACGGCTGAATACCGTGTCTGAGCGGGAGAAAGTTTTCGGTTGGCATATGAGATAATCCTTCTCTGGCCGGTTTCTTCCCGCTGAAATAGAACGGCACCGACTCCTATTTCACTTGCGTCCGTTTGAACATAAAACGGTTGTCCTTGAAGTGGAGGACAGAGTCGGGGCGCAAAGACAAGTGCTTCTTTAAGCTTTTGGAAAGCGTCTTGCTCTTGTACCGTCCATCGCCACTTAATTGTGCCAAAAGATTAGTCAGCGGAACGTTAAGTTCGGTGTATTTCGACACGAACTGACTGTACCAACCGCATACTCCGAGGAACTTTTATAAATCTTTGACTTCATTCGGTACGGGGAATTCGGCGATTGCAGTTAGTTTCTCCGGTTCCCGGTCAATTCCCGTCGAATCAACTATGTGTCCGAGGAAATTTATACGGTTTACACCGAAACTGCATTTTTTCGGTTGAATTGTCAACCCATGTGTTTGTAACCGTTCCAAGACTCGTTGTATGTGGTTTAGGTGTTTCTTCATATTCACCGAGTACACCACGATATCGTCTAGGTACACAAACACAAATTTACCGACATATCCACGTATAACCTTGTTTACCAACCGTTGAAAAGTAGCCGGGGCATTTTTAAGGCCAAAGGGTATTACTTTAAATTGGTAGAGGCCCATTTGTGTGCGGAATGTGGTGAGTGGTCTTGACTCCTGAGTCAAACTGACCTGCCAATAGCCAGACTTAAGGTCGATGGTGCTGAAAACGTTAGCACCACCCATTCCACGGACCATTTCGTGTAAGTCAGGCATTGGGTGTGCGTCGGATTCTGTTTGGAGATTCAGTCTCCGGTAATCCACGCATAATCGCTGGGATCCATCTTTTTTCTTGGCAAGAACTACGGGAGCTGCCCATGGCGAGATACTAGGTTCTACAAAACCTTGCTCCTCCATTTCTCGCACCATACGTGTGATGGTATCCTGTTTTTCACGATTATAAGGATATGCGTTTAAAGTAGCCGGAGTTTTCTCTTTTAACCGGATGTCATGTTCAATGACTCGGGTCCTCCCGACTTCTCCGGAGAAAACCTTCGGGTACTTGAGTAATATTAACCGGACATCTTCCGGAAACTCCCCTTCCGGGATAACCATCTTCGGTTCGGTTTCCCGTTTGATTGTCGGTTTTCTCCAGCATACCGTCGCTCTTCTTTCTGTACCCATGTGGATTGTACATGCTCGTTAGTCCCATGCCACTTCTTGTTTCACCAAGAAATCATGGACCAGTAATACGTCACCGATAAGATGGTCGAGTACCGCGGCTCTGAATTGAACTTCAATGTCAGACACCTGTGCTGTGAACTCCGCGTACTCATGAACTTGCAAAGTTCGGCTGTCAGCCAATGTGACCATACTCGGCTTCCCTTTTATTGGTTTACCAAACTCATGTGCTACCCACGGTAAAACATAAGATACAGTTGCTTGTGAATATAGTAGAGCCACCACAACTTTAGTCGGAAACTCA